ATGCAACAATGGTGATCATGTTCCTCCTAGTTGCCATTGGGAGTTTGGTGAAAATTCTTTCTTGAAGGGAAGAGATGAGAGGTAGAAATCTCACAAGTAGAGTTGCCAGAAATTTAGAGACACAATTTTGAGCACCTAAAATTAAACAAGCACACATGTAAAAATATATGATTTTATTAAACATATGAACGTGTACAATCTTTATATAATATATTCTTTCAAAAGAATAAGACAATCCTCTGATTTTTCCCTTGAATTTGATGTATGGTGACTTCATTTATTTAATAAATCAACTCAAAATTTATACTTTGCAAGAACGCGAATTTGAGCGTGTATTGTGAAGCAAGATTTTGTGATTTAATGCTTTGAAGAGTATCTTTGATTCGTCTTCAAAGTGTTGAAGAACTCTTATGGGGCGTTTAGGCTTAATTTAATAGAGCTTAATAAGATTTGGTGATTTGATGCTTTGAAAAGTACATTTGATTTGTCTTTATAGTGTTATTGAAGAACTCTTATGAGATGTATAGACTTGATCCAATAGAGTTTTGTTCTTTGTAGACTTCAAGCATAGATGAATGAGGCTTGAGAACTCTTAAGAGAGTTTCCTTGTTTGAAGAGAGAGTTTCCTTGCTTAAAAAGTTTGTCTTGAAGAAAAATTGTATCTTCAGACCTCTTTTCTTTAAGTTGAGGCACTTTATTTATAGAGATCTGTAGAGGCTCTTAGATCCTTTTTCAATGCCACATAACATAATTTTATTGGTTGGTATTTATTGAAGAGATCTGACATTTATGACAAGATATCTTAAATATCTCATCCCAAGTGTCAACTTTTTATTGACTAAGAAATATATGAAGGCTCATTTATTTTCCATGTCATTGATTTCAATTTTATTTTATCCTTTTTTTAAAAGAATAAAATAACACATGGTGAAATTTGATTGGTAGAAAATTTGTATTTCTAAAATGTTAATGGTTTTCTATTTAGTTATTACACTCTCATAACACAAATACTCTAACCCGATTTGGTAGGTTGACCTAGTAGATTCAGATTTCTTTTTCTTTTTCTTCATTTGTTTTTTCCTTCCAATTTCATTTTTAAATATTCCAACTATAACTAAAAGGCATCAATATTTTTTCTTCTAATTTCATAACACGAATCCCAGGTTTGACGGATTAACCTGGTTTGAAGGGTTAAACTAGTTAATTCATATATTTTTTTCTTTTTCTTAAGTAGTTTTTTTTCTTTCAATTTTATCTTTTAATATTGATTTGATTAAGAATTAAACTTTATGATTTATTTTGTTTACTATTCATTAGATTATTGTAATTTCATGAAAGAATTTTACTATGCTCCTCCTTGCAAAGCACTATTTATCGGAATAATGCTTTATTTTATTTTTTTAATTAATCCTTTTTAATTTCATTTAGTAATATTAAATTTTTTTCCTTTTTTAATTACCATGTTTTTATAACACGACATTACAGTCAAATCTATATCTAAGATTCTGGATTTGATGTTGTAACCAAATTTATTTAAACTTGAATCATATATGTTTAATATTATTATTAGTATTATAAATATAATTTTTAGGTCAGATGTAACAAATACATCCAATGTTTTCAGGTATAGCTTTATAAAAACACTTAATAGATTTTGTTTTTGCAGGCCACATTTATAGTATTTTTAGTATTAAAAAACTTATGCAAAGTCAATAAAGTTCTTGATTAACAATTCTATATTTTGTTGACTAGGTAAAAATATTTTTGTACCTTGAAAAAGAAGAAAAAAATCAACACCCCGAACCTGTTGCTGGTGAAGTTATTGGCATGGCTGGAGTTGCTTTTGCTATACATGCAGGAGTTACAGGGACTTACTTTGAGTTATATTATATCTGAATTCGATGGCAATAGTTTTTTTTTGGGAAGAAGGGTTTGTTTCTTGTGCTGCCAGAGATTTTGTTTATTATTATTATTTTGAGAGTAACAAAGATTTCATGGGGAGGAAGACAGAATCATCAAAGATATTAACAGTACAAATCACTGCTGATAAAATTTATTAATGAAGAAAACAAAAACGAATAACTGTATCACAGGCTACACAATGCCAGGCTTGTAAAACTAAAATGAATAAAAAAAAAAGAACTGCAAGAATCTTGATCAGAGGAGCCACCATGCAAGCTTCCCAGAAGTGATCAGAGAAGAGATGAGAACGACTTAAGCATCGCAAGGCAGCAAAAAGTGCTGCAAATGTCTCAGAGCATCATCCATGCTTAGGTACCTCCAATGTTTTGTATTCATGATGGCCAAACTCAACTTTCCTCTCTTGAACTTGCCGTCAATATCCTTTATACGCTCCTCCTCATCAGCATAATTCTCACAGCAAAATCCCAACTTCATCTCGGCAACAAGGCTGCTTGCGGTGACCACGTTTGAGCAACACCCCGGCAATGGAAGCTCCTTGGAAAACAAGTCTTCTGCCTCCGGAACAAGGCTGGCCTTTCCACTACACGATTCCATCATATTAAATACAGCTTTCCAACCTCTTAACACAACGTTCCATGTGACTTTTATCTCCCGTATCGCTTCCTTTTTCAGTGAAGACTCAAGATCTACGTCGACAGCGAACTTGAATATCCCATTAGGATCTACCCGGAGTTCATCGCATGGTTTCGATAGGGTGAATAAAGTGGAAGACTCTCCGGTCCTTGCATGGATGACGAAGAGGAGGTCATTTAGGGGCAGATGGGGTTTTATTGGCTTTTGAAGCTGGAGCTTGGAGGCTGCCGTGGAGGCAATACCGTCATTTAGGGGCAGGTGGGGTTTTATTGGCTTTTGAAGCTGGAGCTTGGAGGCTGCGGTGGAGGCAATACCGTAAAGGCGGTGACAAGAGACAGCTGGGTCTACGTGTTTGAGGTTGTAGACAGAAGGGTAGTGAGCAGAGCATATCGGCCGCCAAATATCCTCAGAGGAGAATGACTCCAGCCATGATTTGGACACACAAGAAGCAGCAGCAAGGGATTTAGGGTCTAGATACTGAGCCACTAGGAAAAGAAGCTCCCAAGATGGCGATGGCGAATAGGATACTAGTTTATTCTTGAAGAGTTTTAGTCTTTTGACAGAAACATGATGCATATTTTCTTGACTAGAAGAGCGTTTGAGCTCCGTGAGAGACATGGAGTGATGGCTTAATTTGGTTTCTCCAAATTATTTTAACGATCAATTCTTGGAAGGCTAAAGAACGGAGTATATTTCAACCCTGGAGGTGCTTCATTATATAGGCTGCTAATCTATTGATCAGCAGACCGATGGGATTCCTGTTCCATCTCGGACATCCTATTCCGGATTAGTTAGGGTTAATCCTAATCCGGTGACGTAAAAGTTTTTAAGAAAAATCTCGTTTTAACTTTTGACCTAATAATTTTAATAGATTAATGAATTAACTTAGATCTTAAATTTAATTAGATTAATAATAAAATATATTTAAATTAAAATTTAATTTAAGTTTAGTTAGATTGGATTTAATAATCAAATTAAGTGGAGAAATATATTTTTTTAGGTACTCATGTGATTTATTTAGAACTTGTTGTTAAATGTTATAATAATAATTATTTTTTAAATGGTTTATTGTTTTAAAATATATTAAAATAATAAATATTTTTTATTTTTTAATATTAACAAATCAAAAAAATATAAAAATATAAAAAAATAATTAAAGCAAAAAAGAACTTAATTTTTTTCAGAAGCGTTACCGCAAAAACAAACAAGCGGTGTCTAACTATCCTTTATACGACAGCGTTTTTAATAATTGTGATCAAAAGAAACCCCAATTCGATTTTATTAATGGCTCCTAATTCTCTTTCTTCTTTCTCAACGGTCACTTCGCTTCTCTCTTATTTCTTCACCTTCATCCCATGTTCCAGTATCAAGATGACTACCGAAGCCGCCACCTCATCTTTCCAGAAAACAGTTAGTTACTAATCACTGCTTTCTTTTACCACCGCTTTTACACTACGATGCTGATAATGTCTCCAATTTTAATTATTTTTTTGGAAAAAATAGGTGTTGTTACATGACTGGTGGTTGATCAAAGCCGAGCAGGAGTTCCAAGGGAAGAAAATTGCTGTTGC